GGGGAAGCACTTATTTCACGGAGCCATCTCTCCGGCTCCTCTCGTAATATTTTTATTTGACAGAAATTTTGAGTCAATTCAGGGCATCCAGGCAGTCTTGAGAAGAAACCCTGGAAAGAGACTTCCAGAACTGCTTCAGAAAGTGGCAAGAACGGTGGGAGATGTGTGTTCAAAGCAACGGGGAGTCTTGTGAGGGGGATTCATGGAAATATGTCTTTCACTATAGTATTTACTTTTTTTCATTTTGATGTAAATGGTCACCATAGTTTTTGATCACACCACCGCCTTGCCTGGCACTTGGGAGGGGCAAGCTAATTCTGTGTGAGCTATTTCCCGGAGAACAGCTAGAGGGAAGCCCCTACCTAGCGTGAGCACAGCCTAGAGGTCTCAGTCAGCGGAGGCCTCTCAGTGGGGTGGGCCTTGCTGCCGGTTCAGAGTGGAGGCTGGGCCAGGTGACCTTCCATACTGGCCTCGTCTCTTGCAACCCCGGCCTCAGTCGATGAGTCTGTAACTTCAGCCTCGAGAACTGACAATGCTCGGGGACACAAAACTACGGATGGGCCAGATGCCACCATCTCTCAGGGCAGCACAAGAGCAAGGTGCTCCAGGATAAGACAGAGAACATGTTCGGGAATGTGCCCCAAGACAACAAACCTCCACCCCGACCTGTGCACCAAACTCCCATTACCAAAGTCCGCGGGCCCTGGACTCTGGCCCCGGGGAGGCAGAGACACCCCGCCTCCTCGTTTCCGCTGCCAGCTGCTCTAGGTAGAGCTGAGGGCAGCAGCAGCCTTGGCCAGGAGAGGACTCGACAGCCACTTTGTGCTCTTGGTCACCGTCAAGGTGCAGGGTCACACCTGAGTCCTGAACTCCCTTCTCCAGGTGGAGAGTTACAGTTACAGTCAAAGACAGACAGATGGACAGATGGACGAATAGACAGACAGACACACACAGGAGTTGTATATGCAGTTATTTCATTCCAGTGATCACCAAGCTTTTTCTTTCACATGCAGCCTGACTGGGTTATGCCTTGTTTCATAATTAACACACATTCTGCCCTTGCAAAGCTCCTGGGAGAGACTCCGGTTCCCCTTGACCTGTGAACCCCTATTTACTAGCCCTAACCAGCCCAGGGTCCAAGCCTCTCAGCCCATTCTGAGCAGGCAAGACCGCAGCTCCTCATCCTCCTCCCTCCAGACAATTGGGACACAACAACACACCCTTCCTGGGGACAAAGTTTCTCACACCTGCTCAGAAAAGCATCTCCCCATCCTGCTCACTGAGACCCGCCGGGTTAGTGTCCTGAGCCGCGGTGCCGAAGGTGTCCCCTGACCTCTGGGGCATAGGGCAGGGGATGCTGTCCTCCCAGTGACACCAAGTGTGTCATCGTCCTCTCTCTGCTGACAGGCATGCTGCCCTTCATGCCAGCCACCATGCAGTGACAGGCCCAGCCCAGCCAGCTTCTTTGTCCTATTTCAAATGGGTTTTTTGTTTGGTTTGTGCCCTGCTGGACATGGAGGCCCAACCCTGCCCAGGGAACAAGACAGACCACTACTGCCTGCCTGCCACTCTGCCCTTGTACTTGGACCCACCCCTCAGGGCCCCGGGGAGACACCGTGGAGGCTGGGATCCGATTGTGTGGATCCACAGGGCCTGCTCTTGGGAATTTCAGAGACGACCTCCTGAGGGCGCAGAAGGAGATTCTGTCTCAGCAGGAGATCATCATGCGGTTAAGGCAGGACCTGAACGAAGCCCACGGCCGCATGACCGACTTGAGAGGTTGGTTCCGGCTCCTGTGTCCCCCTGGATGAAGGAAGGACAGGCGCCCCAGAGCCAGCGCCCAGGGTCCTGCTCTCGTGCACCTGCGCTACTGTAGTCCAGGTGTAACGCAGGTGTGGCCCTGGTTCCCGCCCACCAACGTGAGGTCCCAGGCCTCAGCCTGCAGGGGACCCTGCCCACGTCGCTGAAGCCCAGCTTTCCTCCTTGGGGAGCATTTTCTTTCCCCACAGAGGCTGCAACTTCCTTGAAAGGTGTTTGCAGGAAGCCCCATGGGTGTTCTCAGAGCCCTGGAACCTGGTACATATCCAGCAGAGAAGGCTCCAGGATCTAAGAACACCCTCGGCTAAAAAGACGTAGAATCAGGCTGTGGGCATTGGCCAGGGTGCCCTCAACTGCTGGGGAGACCCCAGCAGCATCCCCCGGTTTGGCGCTGCGGTCAGGCGGGGGCGGAGCTTGAGGCAGTGGGCCGTTGCTGTCGTGGTACAGCGCGCTCAGAGCTCCTGGGTGGTAGGGAAGGCCCTGCGGACCCCAGGCGACAGCTCCCTTGGGGTCCCTACGTGTCTGGGGATGAGCTGCGGCCCTTGCAGCAATCTGAGGTGGAAAACCCCTCAGCAACCGGCTTCCCCGGGGTCCCCAGGGGAGCTGAGCGAGAAGCAGAAGGCGGAGCTGGAGCGGCAGGTGGCCCTGGTCCAGCAGCAGAGCTGCGAGCTGAGCGCGCTTAAGGTGAAGATGGCGCAGATGAGCAGCCACGTGGAGAGGAAGGACAAGGAGCTGAAGGCCCTCAAGGAAGCGCTTAGGTGGGGGACCCCGGGGGGCCCGGGGCCGTCGGGGAGGGCTCAGTAAATACTGCTTGCCACTAGTACATGGACGTTGTGGTTTTTTTATTGCTTCACAGCCTCATCAGACTTGAACTTTGCTTTGTTGTATTTCTCACACGTGGGGGCCGGGGAGATAGCTCAGTGGAATAAGTGCTCAACTGGCAAGCGCAAGGTCCTGAGTTCGATCCCTGGTACTACCAAAGGGGGGGGGGAGTTGTTTCATTTCCCACACAGACTTTCCAGCCTGGTGCCCCGGATGCAAGGCCCCCGCCCACACAGGGACCCTCCCATGCCAATTACCCTCACCAGACACGGCCCTGGAGGCTGTGGGGCCCGTGCACCTGTCTGTCTGTCCAGGGCACAGGCCTACAGGGACCTTGCCCACTGTGGACTTCTGGTGCTCACGCTGTACCTGGCACAAGAGAACTTAGCATTGATTGAACAAATGAATAAGCCGGAGGTGTCAGCTCCAAATAAGTACACACACAGCATGATCCCTGTCCCATATCATAAAATGGGGCTGCACTTTGGTCCATATTTAACATGAGTAGTGTTTTCCCCAAACATCTATGTGTCTCCTCTGGTTTCCTGCTCCTCCTGCCCAGGGCAGGGTCACACAGAGGGAAAGGAACAGGGTCCCAATCTGGGCTGCCATGTTTCAGGCAAATTCTTGTGCATTCTGTGTTTGTCCCGCTTGGGGGGTGAGGGTGACAGCAGCAGGTGTCCTTGTGGGGGACATGCAGTACACATCCCCATCAAAACCTCAGTAAGTATGCACAAACCCAGGCTAGGGAGCAAGAAAAGGTGCACACTGCACGGCCACCACCCTGTGAGCCCCTGACACTAGAGTCCCTGGAAACCCGGGGACAAGAAACTTGGGGTCCCAAGGAACTCAGGTATTTGGCAAAAGAGAGTTCACTTCCTGGTCTGCCAAGGACACAAAGGACTGGAGCCCATGCCAGGCTGCTGCTGGTGACGTCCCCTCTCTGCCCTAGGACTTCCCAGGAGAAACACAAGCACCATCTGAGCTCGGAGAAGGAGCAGAGGCTGAGAACTCCCACCCAGAAGTGTGACATCTCGGTGCAGATCGACCCGGTCCCCCTGGATGTTTCCTCGAGCAGCCAAGAGGTGAGGGAGGCCCCTCCGACCCTTGGCTCCTGAAGGACACCACACCAAGGGCGGCTTTTTTTTCTTGCAAAACTATTTTCTTTTGAAGCATTGTTTGCCTCTGTGAAAGGGATAAGGCACAACTTGAAGCTTCCTGAGGTGAAGCCTTCAACAGCAGGAAGCAGGCGCCTTGAGGTCTTTGCTGACAGAGGCTGCCGTGTCCCCACATGGTGGCTGCAGCTCAGGCTCCAACCCAGTCACCCTGGGTTCGAATCCCAGGCCCTCCTCTTAGCAGCTCTGTGACCTTGTCAGGCCACACTGTGCCAGTTCTCTTATCTGAGAGCAATGACAGTCCCCACCTCATGGGATGGTGGAGAAGCAGATTTTATTTATGTCCGTGTATGAACAATACACATACCTGCACATACATATATTGATTTAGTCAATAATTTTCTGCGAGTAGTATCAAACCACACAGATTCTGTAACTTGTTTATTTTCATATAATATAGCCATTTTTTTCAAGTTAAGCGGATTAAGGTCTACCTCATTCTTTTTAGCATTTTTATTAGTGCCTGTTACTTGTATAAAATATTGTGTTTCTTTTGAAAATTGTCTGTTCAATTCATTTATCCACTTAATGACTGGGCTATTTTTCTTCTTTTTGAGTCTTTTATAAATCCTAAATGTTAATCCTCTGTAAGAAAAATAGACGGTGAAAGGGCCAGCCAAACTGGGGAGATGGCTCAGTGGAATAAGTGTTTCCCTGGCAAGCGCAGGGACCTGAGTTCAATCCCTGGTTACACACACACACACACACACACACACACACACACACACACACACAAAAGGGCCGGCCAAATAGCTCAGTGGATTAAAGCACCTGCATGCAGGCGCAGGGGCCAGGGGTTCAATCCCTGGGCCTGCTGTGCTGCCTCTGCCTCCAGGGTGCGCTGAGACAGCGATTGAGACTGGGTGTGGTGGTGCGCGCCTGTAATCCCAGCTCTTGGGAGGCTGCAAACAGGCAGATCACTTCTAGTCCAATCTAGTAGTGAGACCCTGAGCACCCTGTAGACCCTTCCCTAAAATACACCAGTTGTTTCCCTTGCTGTGACGACAGTGTAATGTGCAAGGGCAGCACTTGTTGATTCTCATTATTTCCTGTGACATTAGAGTCCTCCTCGGGAAGTCTCTGCCGGTGCCTGTACCTCCAAATGCTTCCCCTACATTTCCTTCAACCTCAAAGTTTCTTCTGCCTTCAAAGTCTCCTGTGTTATGCCGAGGCCCTCGAGCCATTTGGTTTGACTTTAGGGGTGAGCGAGGTCTCACTTCAGACTTCTGCGCACAGGTACCCGGCTCTCCCGGCACCATTTGTTAAGGGAGCCGCCTCCTCTGCAGCACGCATTTTTGGTTCCTTTGTCCAGAGTCAGATAGCTAGCCAGAGTTGCTCTTGTGAGCTTGTTTCCACAGCCTCTATTCTGTTTCATTGCTCTATTTTGTGCCAGTACCGTGTATTGTTGTTGTTGCTGCTGCTGCTGCTGCTGTTACAGGGACTTTCTAAGATCACTTGGAATCGGGTATTGTGATGCTTGTCTTTGTTTAGAATGCTTCAGCTCTTCTGTGTCCTCCATGCTAGACAACAGTCATTGGAACCTTGATGGAGATGTCATTAACTCTTGGCCAAGAGGCCATGTTAGCAACATTAATCCTGCTATCTGTGGACACGGTCTCTCCTTCTGGTAGCCCCAGTTTCTCTCTTCAGTGCCTTGGGATTTTTCTTAGAGTGGTCTTTTACCTCCTTGGTTAAGCTGGTTCGTAGGGTTTGGGTTTTTGGCACGGTTTCTATAGCTTTGTGTTTTCATCTGGGGAGGACAGTCATGAGTGCAATTATTTTCCGGATTTCTTTCTCAGCTAGTTTCTTATTGGTATTTAGGCAATCTGTTGATTTTTTTTTTTTTTTTTTTTTTTTTTTGGTGGAACCGGGGATTGAACTCAGGCCCTTGTGCTTGCCAGGGAAGCGCTTATTCCACTGAGCCATCTCCCCGGCCCCACTGTTGATTTTATTGATGCTGACTTTGTACCCTGTCGCCTCACTTTTTTTTTTAAAGTGGCTATGTAGCATTTCTTCATGTCCCTTTTTAATCCAGCCAGTCCCTGGGGGATGGACACTTAGGCTCTTTCTCCTTCCCCACAATGCTATAGGTAATATACTCTGCTAGACATGAACTTTCTAGGTCCGAAGGAATTCTGAAATTACTTCCTAGGCCCAGACTGCCTTCCCAAAGAGCCATGATGAACTCCCTGGGGCTCTCACTGCTCCCTGCGGGCACCTACCCAGAAGGCTTTGCAGCCCTGAGTCCCAGTCATGCACCCAGCGGCGAGCGTCTTGGAGTGACAACAGCCTGCACTGGGTGGCCCTCTGCACCGGCACTCACACTCTGTCCCTGTGCCTGGCCCTGGGAGTAGGCTGATTGTGGGCCGTCTGGGTTCCTCGAGGTCCCAGCTTCCTGGAGTCCAGGATATCCTGTCCCCTTGGCTTTATGAAACCAGAGAGCAGGCATTCCAATAAGAGGCTCTGGACTCTACTTGGAAACGGGGCCAAATGTGTCAGCAGAGATGTTTTCTGGGCCAGGCAGCAGCGAGTGGCAGCCTGGAAGAAAACTCCCGAGGTCCAGCCAGCTGTCCCTGGCATTGATTGTGGTCCAGAGCCCTCTGAAAGGAGTGGCTCCTCTTGCTCAGGGCAATGGGGAGGGGGGGACCTGCATCAGATCCTGGTGGCCTAGAAGCTCCGTGGGGCAGGGCGCATGAGTCACTCTCAGTGGAACCCTGGTCCACGTTCCTTCACGTGTTCAGCAACTATTAAGCACTTTCTGTGTGCTAGACCCAGACAGGGAAAGTCGCATGGGTCTCTGCCCTCATCAAATTCCCCTGGGGGGTTGCCCACATTTCTTGGATGGGCTATGGGGCCCTAACCCCTGTGATTTTTCGTTTCTATTATTTAGTTTGTAGTATCAGGATTCCTGCAGGAGGGTGGAAGAGGAAAAAATTATTTGTTCTTTCTTGGAATGACTTTTGTCACCAGGCTACTTCCTGTGTTCTAAGCCAGAGTGGGTCAGAGGCCTTCAGAGTTGTATGAGAAAGAATCTCTGTCCCCTAAATAAGTACACTCCCAGAGGAGTTGTGAGGAGGGTCATGTGGTCCCGGCTTAGGATTTGGCTGAGTGACTGAATCTCCTGGCTGCTGTGTCTCTCCCCGCCCCAGGCTCCCCTAGATTCAGAGCCTCCTGCCCTCCTGACAGAGAGAGAGAGAGAGAGAGAGAGAGAGAGAGAGAGAGAGAGCGAGAGAGCTGCAGTAGACACAGCCTCCCATCAGTGAGCAGGGCCGCAGGGAGCCAGGCCTGGGAAGGGCACCAGGGTGCATCTGGTACAGGCTAGAGCCAGGGTCACAGAACAAGCAAGATCCTGGAGCGGGCACAGCGATGCCCTCTCGCCTCCAGGGTCCAGCTGGAAGCTGGGTACGTTCTTCATGGTACCTGCTTGACCTCGGGGCATCCCAGCTTTGCATTTACTAAGCACCTACTATGCGCAGCTCAGTGCTCTGCCTCAGGAATGCCAGTCATCACAGGAGACAGAGTGTGCTCCTGCGGAGCCTATGCCCTGGGAGGGGAGAGACAGAAATCAGGTAATAATGAGCAAAATGTCCAGCGGGGACAAGGAAGTGAAGGAGAAAGTGGCAGGAGGGGCTCAGATGGCACTCCCAGCCCCCTAAAGGAGCCCTAGGACCCGAGAGCAGCCCAGGACTGAGGCCACCATCACAGAGGCCTGCAGTGAGCCTGGACTCATGGTGGGCGGCAGCAGCAATCACTGGCCTGAGAGAGCAAGTGCCAGCTGCCTTCACCTGTCTGCCCGAGGAATGACCTCCGCAGCAGCAGCAGGGCTGCTCTGAGGCTTCCGACCCCACCCCAGGGCCAGATCCGTAGTCCATACAAGAGACAGACCCAGAGAGTCAGGCAGGTGGACGACGGGCAGATGATGGACAGAAACGGATATAACTAGGTAAGGAAATAGATAGACGGTAGGTAGCTGGGATCTCTGTATCATTTTTAAAATAAGTTGAGTTCACTTGATGCTATATGTGTTATCTTTCATGTCTTTATCAATAGCATAAAGTGAACCAAAATTGCTGTTTTAAAAATAGTTATAAGAAAGCCAGATTGTCAGCCTCCTCCCCTTCCCACCAGCCTCCTGAGGCCTTCTGCGGGAGCTCGTCTACAACTGATGAGTCCCGCAGCCCTTCCCAGGCCCGCCCTCACCCGGGGGGCACTTATCACGGCCCGTCCATCTTTGCCAGCATCTGTCTCCCCACATGGGGATACAAAATCCACAGTAGGAAGAGGGAGGCTGCCAGTTTTTTTTTTTTTTTTTTTTTTTTTTTTTTTTTTTTTTTTTTTTTTGTGTGTGTGTGTGTGGCCAGCTCAGCTCACCAGGGGGCAGGGCTGGCTGGCATGTGGTGCTGGGGGATTGAACCGCGGTCCCTGTGCTTTGCGAAGCTTGTTCTAAGTAGGTGCTTTAGACCACTGAGCCATCTCACCAGCCCAAGGCTGCCAGTTTTAGTCACTGCTGAGAACCCAGAGGCAGGATCAAGACTTGGCACTTAGAAGTGCTCAAAAAAATCTGTGCCGAATGAATGAATGAGTGAATGAATAAGAAGGAATTAATGAATGAATGAGTGAGTAAATGAGTGAATGAATGACGAATGAATGAGTTAGTGAGTGAATGAGTGACTGAATGAATGGTGAATGAATGAATGGTGAATGAATGAATGAATGAATGGTGAATGAATGAATGAATGGTGAATGAATGAATGATGGTGAATAAATGAATGGCATTCCCCAGAAGATGATGTGTAACTTGGAGTCCATGACTGGGCTTCAGGGAGTCTCTAGAAGGCTAATGGTTCGTGTAGGGAAATTTTTCTGAAGGACAGAGCACCTCATTCTTCCAAATCTTAAAAGCCTCAATGGCCTTGAAGACAAAGAAGACCTCCTCAGCCTGTGCCCAGAGTACACACAACTGTGGCCCCGAGCTGTTACTGAGGGCCACCCCCAAGTGGCTGCCATACTGGCTGATGCAGGTATAGGACACTTCCTTCTTGCAGAACATCCTGTGGGCTACACATGCTCAAGGCCACGGGAGCCTCCAGAGAAGGTCTGCAGCGCAACCCAGAGCCGGTGTGTCCAACCCCCTGCACTTGACACTCAGAGGTGTCGAGGGAGAAGCCATTATGACCAGTTTCACGGAAGGCCCTGTGTGTTAGTGACTAAAAATGCTGCTCTGAGGGAGAGGCCGGGACCGCAGCTCCATGGTACAGCACATGCTTGGCATGCGCAAGGCCCCGGGTTCTGCCTCCAACAGTGCAAATGATAATAATGATGGTAATAATCACTGTCGTCGTGACCCCTCTAGAAAGCAGAACATGCTGCAATTGTTCTGAAAACGAGATGAGGACAATAACAAGTGGAAACTCAGGCATAGAAGAATATTAGAAGAACAGACATCATGGAGAAGAAATATAGAGGGATCTTTTATTTATAGTGATGCTAATTAGGTAGGAAAGCCAGAAATCCGCCTAGATGGGATTGGATATTTGTGATGAAAAATTTAAGCCCCTTCTTTGCTGAAGCCCTGAAGATATTTTCCAGAAGTGCTAAACGACAGGGCTTCTGCCATACAGGAATCCTTCACATTCCTGAAAATGTAAGAGCGATATTCAGGCCCCCAGTTAAGCAGCTGTCTGCGCACCCTCTGTCCCCAGGAGCAATCCTTCAGTGACCTCGGGGCCAAGTGCAGGGGCCACCGGCATGAAGAAGTTATCCAGCGTCAGAGAAAGGCCTTGTCGGAGCTCCGTGTGCGAATCAAAGAGCTGGAGAAGGCCAACTCCTGCAGTAAGTGCCCTCCTCCCTGTCCCAGCGAGGGACTCAGAGCCTCGGGCGCATTTCGGGGGCCAGCTAACTGCCCAGGACTTCTCCCCTCCATCCCCTCCTCTTGAACAAGTCATTGAATCTCCCTAGATCTCAGTTTCTCCATCTGCCCAGGGGGTCATGAGGATTAAAACAGGCCTAGAGTTAAGTGTCCCATAAATCATAGCCACAGTTATTACATAAAATAACTTCTTCCTGAGTCTAAATTATTTCTTTTATAGATCCCAAGGATCACCTGAACGAATCAGCCCTAGAGTTAAAGACTCTCGGAATGGAAAATAATGTCCCCAAAATGTTACTGGACACAAAACCCAATTTGCCAACTCTCTCAAGAACAGAGATCCACGCGGTAAGCAAAGAAAAGTCTGTCTCTGCAGTGTGTGGCCCACAAAAAGGGTGTGCGTTAGGACACCACCAACTGCATACCCCAGCTCACCGGGCATCAGTGGTTTGAGTCAGCCTCCCTCGGGGGCGAGGTCTGACCCTGCAGCCGGTGCCTCTGCACAGCATGGTACAGCATGGCCTGGACCCTGGGCCTGGACAATCCTTAAAGCATGGGGACCACATCACCCCAGCAGGTGTTACACTCCGCAGAGAATGTTCAACAAGCTAATTAACCCCGTTATGCCAAGGCTAAGGTCACCTCTTACTGTAAACTGAAAAACACAAGTGGGTAGCAGCAGGGGGCCATGAATAAGAAGACACAAATTCTGAAGCCCAAAGGGACCTTTGGACATCAACATCTAAGTCCCAGCCTGAAAGCCATGTGACCTCGGCTCGGGCAAAGGGCTTAACCTTTCTAGGACTCCATCTCCCAGCCATAATATGACAATGAAGGTATTAGGGAGAATTGTGTAAAGGTCTTGGCCCAGTGCCTAGCTCATAGCCCACACTTAATAGATTATTATTATTATTATTATTATTATCAAAATAGTATTATTCAAGGAAAGAGTTTCTCTTCCCAAAGGGACACAGATTTATTTGCCAGAATTGTTGGAAGTGATTGGATTGCGGAGTTGTACCCTCAGTGGAAGTTTCAGCATTTCATAGACACGTGACAATGGGCAGGCTGCCCCAAGTGGATGCCTGCCACAGCCTCTGTATCTGCATTTCATTTAGCTAGTTAGTTAGTTGTTCCTGAGATTGAGCTCTAACCCTACACATTAAGCTTTAACCCCAGCCTTTTTAATTTTTTAATTTGAGACAGAGTTTTCCTAAGTCACTAACTTGCCAGGCTCAGTTTGAATTTGAGATTGCCCTACTCCCGCCTCCCAGAGTTCTGGGGTTAACGGTGCGCCTGGCTTGTAGATGGACCTAGCACACACGCGGGCCACTAGGAGAAACCCCGAGGCCAGCCTCTGCAGGCCAGCATCCTTCCTGCACACTTGCCAGAGTCCGGGATGAAGGTATTTGGAAGCGAGCTGGATTTCTTGTTCAAAGCAAACCTTCATTTTCCAACATCGAGTACATGGGGACAATCTGCGGGCAGGAAGCCAGCTAGAGCTCAAGTCCTGACCCAGCCGCCCAGACTGCGCCTCCCCTGGAAGACCAGTCCCCGCGCTGACACCGACAGCAGGATGCCTTCCGACTCTCTATAAACCCACACTCCTCCACAAAAGGCGGTGATCGCGATCCCAGGATCGGAGCAGGAAGGGAAGGAGCCCACACGGATTTATGCCCTCTGTGCATTACTGTATTTAAACAGCATTGTGGTTATTGTCATTTTCCTCATCTTACAGAGGAGGAAAACAAAGGCTTCAGCAGGTCACATGCCCCCCTACAATGTCACAAAGATGAATGAGGGCTGTCCCTGCCAGCTGCCCTCTTGTTCCCTGCTTGCCCTGGAAAGGGGTGTATAGGACCCCGCCAAGGGGTCTGGAGACACTGAGCTGCTTTCTGGATTGTGTCTTCGGCAGATTTGCCCAACTTACTGTCATCTCAAAACCCCTCAGGGGAAAGAAAAAGAAACCCCTCAGATTGGATAACTATGTCCACTCTGGACGGAGATAAATTATGTCCACCTCTACCTGTTCCAGTCACACGGGAGCCTCTGCATTTTTGTAATTGGGGTATTTTGTTGCTAATCTTAGAGGATTCAGGGCAATACCAGCAAACACACACTGAAAAGCCAATCCGATTCTAAGGAGAGCTGTCACAGTCATTCGTGGTCTCCAGACTCCCACGTGACATGGTGGCCTTCTGGTGCTAATGCAGTCCCTGGCAAGTACACAACTGTCACCCACCCCCGTCACCTCAGGAGAGGGTCTGCATGAGCCACACCCACCAGCTCTCACCCCAGAAGAACGCCTGTCCACGCTTCTGAAGCTCTCATTTCTGCTGCATGAAAATGAGATTCCTCCAATAAAAGGAGAGGGGGTTTTTTGTTTTGTTTTTTTGTTTTTTTCTTTTTAATGGTTTAGGTTTTAGTTTTGTTTTGTCTTTGGTTTGTTTTTGCTTGTGCTTTTGCCATGCTGGGGACTGAACTGAGGGTCATGTGCATGCTACACCGCAGCCTGAGAGGAAATGTTTTCTAGGTGACCATTCGTTCATTCATTCATTCATTCATTCGTTCATTCATTCGTTCATTCATTCATTCATTCAATGAGCATGCCCATCTGTGCCACGTGGCCACACTAGACACAGGCAGTGAGGTCGTAAGCAGACAGCAACATGATCCCTGTCTTAGTTTTCTCGTTGCTGTGACAAATTGCCCGACACCCACAAGTTAAGGGAGAAAAGGCGCCTTTACCTCATAGTTTCTAGAGGTTTCAGTCCATAGTCAACGGGCTCCAAGGCACGGTGGACGGCAGAGGGGCACTGCAGAGGAGCAGCAGTTCACAGTGGGCAGAAGGCGGCAAAGCAACAAGGGATGACCCCAGCTCTTTGTATGTCTTATAGATTATAGGGCTGCTTAGGGTGGGAAGCCCGCACAACTTTAATCCTAGTGCCCTTGAACCTAACATTGCACCATGAATCAACCCCAGCATCACACACTCAAGATCCGGCCCTACCTACGCCCACATGAGGCTTTGGGGGGCCAGCTAGACACAAGCCAGAGCAGTCTGCACGGAGCTTGTCATCTGGGCTAAGGGTCCTCTGCCTCAGCACTGCTGGATCTTGGCCCAAGTCATTCTGCCCCACTTGGAAGAGGCTCTGCCTTGTGTGCTGAGGGTACCTTTGCCGCTAGCCCACTGGATGCCACAGCACTCTCCATCCTCAGATGTGACAGCCAAAAATATGTCCAGACCCTGCTCAATGTCCTAGGCGAAAGGCACAAAACTCAGCCCTGCTGAGCACCATTCCTCCGGAGAGAACACAGATGGTGGTCAAAGGAGACAAGCCACATGTCATCGCAGAGCCATTCTCTGAAGCGTTCAGACAGTCATAAGAAGGGAGCTGACAAAGAATCCCGGCTGCATGGTCAGGAGCCAGAATACACCACGCAAGTCTATTGAACTATTCCTGTGTAACCCCACACGGCTTTGGCTTCTGGGTGCACAATTCACCATGGATCACTGAGAGAGTTGTGATTGCTTCTTTATTTCACCCTCAGAATGGCCTTACCAACTCCGGGCCCAGCTGCACCATGGAGAAGTCAGGGAAAGCGGACGTGGCCAAGGCCTTAGAGCTCAGCGAAAAGCTGGTATGTACCCTGGGCACCCATCCCTCTCCTGCCTAAAGGCTAGTTCCCTGCAGTCACTGTTAACCATGGGCTCTTTTACTAACTGGTGACCTCATGTGACCTGTGTCATTGATCTGCTAAGGCTACACACACATCTACTACCCAGCAAGGGTTAGAAACTGTGTAGCCAAAGGAAGGAAAGAAAGAAGGAAGGAAGGAAGGAAGGAAGGAAGGAAGGAAGGAAGGAAGGAAGGAAGGAAGGAAAGAAGGAAGGAAGGAAGGAGAGAGAGAGAGAGAGAGAGAGAGAGAGAGAGAGAGAGAGAGCACAGCTGAATTCCTGGAGAGCCCGGGTAGTTAGAATGCGTCGTCATTTACCCCCCTGGTTCTCAAAAAGCCTCCTGCAAGTGGATATGGGAGAATGAGCACCCCAATTGCACTCATTTCCAAAGCATCTGCTTGCCGTCTGCAGCTGCAGACAATGAGTGCAGCAGAATTAGCCCTGGGCTGCCCTAAAGTGGCCACCCCTGGCCTCGGCAACTCCATGCCCCGTCACCACTCTGCTTGCAGTACATGGACATGAGCCGAATGCTGGGAAGCCTGATGAACATCAAGGACATGTCGGGCCACGTGTCCATGAAGCACCTCTCCCCCAAAGAGCGGGAGCGGGTCAACCAGCTGAGACAAAGGGACCTGGATCTGGTGTTTGATAAGATCACGCAGCTCAAGAGCAGGCTGCAGAGGAAAGAGGAGCTCCTGCAGGGCTACGAGCAGGACATCGAGCAGCTCAGGTACAGCCCGGAGCCCCCAGAAAAGCTGGGCCCCTCTCCTGGCTAAGCAGGGACAGCAGCAGACACCTGGGGCTGGGACAGGAGGGCAAAGACTGGGTGTGGAATAACTGAGCTATTGGAGGGACAGCACCCAACCTATGAGGCAAGTCTGTCTGTGGGAACATGATGATTGGAGGGTTAGCTTTCCCCTCTCCGCATGTTCTGAATGTGCAGAATCTGCTGTCATCCTTGATTTGTGGTCACCGCTAGTGTAGATTTGACAGTTCCATCACTTTCCCAAGAGTCATGGGTTCCACACCACCAGAAATGGGGTTGGCAGCACATCGTGGTCCCCTCGATGCGACCATGTCTAGTTCCTGAGCTGTGTGCTGTGCCCTCTGCACCACCTAGATCCCTGTCCTGTGTGCCCCCTGTGGAGGTGTTTGCAGAGGCCACTGATGGGATATGGACAGACAGGGATGATGAACTGAAAGGGGGACTCCACCTCTCCATGCACCCAGGCAGAGCAAAGTGTCCGTTCAGATGTACCAGTCACAGGTGGCCAAACTGGAGGATGACATCTACAAGGAGGCCGAGGAGAAGGCGCTGCTGAAGGAGGCCCTGGAGCGCACAGAGCAGCAGCTGCAGCACGAAAAGAGGCTCAACAGGGCCAGGCAGCAGAAGGTAGGCGCAGCTGCCCCGGGCCCCTGCGACCCTCCAGGCCAGGTCCCGGAGGGCCCAGGCGGGTGGCTACTTTCTGATGCAAATGAGGGTGGCGGAAGAGCTCTGACAGCAGGCAGAGCTAGGTTTAGAGCAGGGCCATAGATACCTCCTGTGTGGCCTTAGGGAGATTTCTGAACTTCTCTGAGGCTCAAGCCTCGTCTGGAGTTCTTAAATGGTAGCAGCTACTCATTTTATCATTCTGCTGAGACTGCCCACATGAATACACTCCCTGAGAACAGAGATTTGGGTTCATCCAAATCATAGTAGACAGCTAATGAGTATTTGGCAAATGGATGAATGGAAGGACAGACAGAAGGACAGGTGGATGTTTGGATGGATGGATAGATGGACAGAGGCTCAATGAATGGACCAGTGGATGGGAGGAGGTTGAGACCCTGCTGTCAGGCCTGGGTTGCAAACACTTGGGCTTGAGAAATGAAGACTCCAAACTCGGACAGGTGACTCAGCCAGAAGTCCCCACCACTCTCATCTAGGAGTCCATCTGTCATAAGGTGCAGAGGTCAGCCCTGGATTCAAATTGTGTGACCTCACACAAGTCTCTTCTCTCAGGGCCTTGCCTCCCGCATGGGTAAACAGCAGCCATGAGTGTCCGCCACCTCCCAGGGTTGTGTGAGGACTGAGAGCAGCGCAGGTGTCCCTCGCGGCCCTGTGCCAGGTGGCTGAAAGGTGGTGACTGCAGGAGACTTTGGGGGACATCTAGACACAAGCTGAAACAGTTACTGTATGCATATGCGTGCGTGTAACTGTGTGTGAACATGTTTGCATGAGGACTATCTGCATGTTTGCATATCTGTGACTGTGCATGTTTTCACTTGTGTGGCTCATGTATACATGTATGTTTCTGTGTGTTTGCATGGATGCAGCTGTGCGTGTGCGGATGTGTGCAACTACGTGGCATGTTTGTGTGTGTGTCTGTGTGTATGGATTTCTCTGTGCTCGACTGTGCATGCATGTTTGCATGTGTGTGACTATGTGCATGCTTGCATGTGTGTGATTGTGTGTCCCTGTCTGCATTGACTGTGTGTACACATTTGCATGTGTGTGGCTGTATGTATGTGTGTACACATGTGACTATGTCTGTGCATGTTTGCATGTGTGTGGCTGTGCATGTGTCACCTGTCTGGTTTCTGAGGAAGCCAGGCCTCCAAAGAAGGGTGCCCCCACCAGGAGCGCTCTCTGGTGAGCTCCCTAGATCCAGCCCCAGAATGAAAGCACCTTTCCTGCTGCAAGCGAGGGGAGGTCCAGACAAAGCCTTTCAGGCAGGCAGTGCAGCTCTGAATTAAACATCACAGGCCTCAGCGTGCCTGCATCTCGGGCTGCCTAGGGCAGAGGACAGGATTCCTTTGCCGAGAGCCCTGTTGGGGGAGCTGTGGTGGCACGGAAGTCTGACTCATCTTCTGCTGTGCCTTCTGGGGAGCGCACTTCTTTCCTAAGCTGTTTTCTGGGGCTTGGCAGCCCAAGCCCCCAAGCAGAGACACCAAACCACAAAACAGGACAACAAAGGCCCCAAAAGCCCGCTGTGGTGTGCTGGCTGGAAATGGAAGAAAACCTGAGGATTTGCATAATCAGCGTCCCATGCATTATGCATGGGCTCCCTCATTCATACTCAATGCAAGGGCTGTGCCAGCCAGTTTGGCACTAGAGCCCTTCCACAGAGGGGTATCTGCAATGCCTCTCTTAAATCTGGGTCAGGGTCCCCAGAGAAGCTAATGCTGGGGCCTTGCAAGTTCATGGACTTCACAGGGTGGGGACACTGGACAGGCACAGTGGCGCTGCAGGTCTCCCTCGAAGACCGAAGACCGTGGAACCGGCAGGGTCCACTGGCTATGACTGCCCTGCAGGCTCACATCTCTCCTGCTTCATCCTGGAGGGTCAGGGCTGGCCTACCAGGCAGGAGGGCCTGAGGCTGACAGAGGTTACTCAGGTGCAGAAACGAAGTCCCCACCTGGACCTCTCCTCCCAGGCCTGCGCTCTGGGACGCCTCTGTCCCACCCTTCCTCCACGCACCACTGCTCTCCGGGTACTCATCCTGGGGGTACTGGTTTGCATTTAAGAATTGTTCTCGGGGCTGGGGAGATGGCTCAATGGAATAAGCGCTTCCCTGGCAAGCTCAAGGGCCTGAGTTCAATCCCCAGTTCTGCCAAAAAAAAAAAAAAAAAGAATTGTTCTCAACATAGTGTTAGAAGCTCTTACTTTTTCAGGGGGAAAAATAAATTCCAAAATTTTGCTGGCTTCTAAAGGGACCCTCAGGCCCAGGACGTAGCTCAGCAGCACAGCATCTGCCTGGCAAACATGAAGCCCTGAGTTCAAGTCCCAGTAGCCCCCTCCCCAAATAAAGGGAAGCTGTATACATCTCTCTTGGCATCCGTTTCTCCTTAGGAAATTATTTTCATTTTAAAAAATGGAAGTTCAAGTAAAATTAAAGTTTCACCCTTAGTATTTTCACTTTTTCAAAGCCTCTTATATAAAATCTTAGTAGTGGTTCATGAAGATGGACCGGTGGAAACCCGAGAGGATAAAATTATTTACCTTGAGCTCTAAAACTACTTCCACAGACAGACAGACAGACAGACAGACAGACAGACGCCAATGTTGCTTGGGTGTTTGGACATCTCTTCCCCAAGCAGAGCTTTCCAGAATCCAGTCACGGTTCCATACAGTTACTATTAGCTGCACAAATGAGGCCCAATTAAAAAAAAAAAAAATCCTGGGAAAACCTCAACACCAGACGCATCCTACTCCTGGGCCTCCTAAGCCTGGGGTGCCCTGGAAGCTCTTTACAGGAGACAGTGTGACAAGGACCATGGTCCAGGCTGGGTTCAGTCTAGTCTCCTTCCTACATCACAGCCAAGCCTTTCAGCATTAAGAGGCCCACTCTGGAGGCAAATAGGACAGGTGCCCACCTCTGTCCCTGAGTGACAAGTGAGTTCCTTTACCTCCACGTCTCAGGCTTCTTAACAACAGCGCTAACAACGACCTACAGGTGCTTCCAGGCGGGGGAGTGGGGAGGGCTCAGCAGCACAATGCATAGGGCACCCGGCCCATAGCAAACTCAGTTACTACAGGAAAAGGCAGCTCTGGGGGAGGAGGGACATTTCTGGGGTTCTTTCAGAGAACTGCCTGCCAGCTGATGGGTCCCGCTAACCCTGGGACTTTTTCCCCGTTCCCCTAATGTTGGCAGCTCCTTTGTAAAGCTCTCTTTTCTATGTGGTGAATACAGCTAGGGCTATAGCCAAGAGAGCGTCATTAACTTTTTGTGAATGGGTTAAGGCTGGAATTTTCAATGGAAGACATTCAGATGCATAGAAGTCACCCTTGGAGAAGCACAGAAGGCTTCCTGAGCCCCTCATTAGGACTGGAAGTCTGAGAACAGCTGAGATGCATTCCTGGACTGGGCAGCAACTCGGCTCCCCTTCCGGCCTCTACCCAATCAAATCCCAGCCAGAGGGTCTTAGCACGGCTTTTCTGGGTGGTCTCAGCTGGGCCGGTGGCCCTGCCTCCCTGCTTAGATCCTGTCGCTAACAGCAGAGCAAAAACAGTGTCCACCACACAAGGTGGGATGCAACGAGAACGTGTGGAGAAGCCCCTGAGCAAATGAGACTCCTGGGTGCGTCCTAATCCTGGGCCTCCTAAGCCTGGGGTGCCCTGGAAGCTCTTTACAGGGGACAGTGTGACAAGGACCATGGTCCAGGCTGGGTTCAGTCTAGTCTCCTTCCTACATCACAGCCAAGCCTTTCAGCATTAAGAGGCCCACTCTGGAGGCAAATAGGACAGGCGCCCACCTCTGTCCCTGAGTGACAAGTGAGTTCCTTTACCTCCACGTCTCAGGCTTCTTAACAACAGCGCTAGCAACGACTAAAAATGAGACTTCCACCACCAGCGCCTCTGCTCTGCTTAACTTGCTGTTTTCCAAGATCTTCTTAGACACGGGCATTCCCCAGAGCCTGTGCTCCTCAATGCTATTGTGCATTTTACATCAAGGAGTGGAGATCGTTAGAAGTTGTATAACCCAAGAATGAAACAGGGGCTCGGGAATGCTGCCCTCAGGCCCCCCAAAAGGATGAAGACGTAAAATGTGGGTAGTGGGTGCAATATCTGGATAGGAGGGGACTAGAGAAAGAGGGACTTGGGCCGCACAGCCCCAGCTTCCGCCACGCACTTCCGTGGTTCGCAGCCCATCCCCCCAGCCCAGGAGCGTGCCCGGGTCAGTGCAGGCGAGGGCATACTAAACACTCTCACTCACCTGGTATTTCCACTCAGGAACGTTTAAAGGATCATGAAGAGAAAAATGCAAAAGAACGGACGCCTTGCAACTGTTCCTTCAAAGAGAGCGTGAGGCAGGTATGGCACAGAGTTCCGCCCACAGTACAGTCAGTCTCCGCAAAGGCGAGAGCCCTGGAACGTAAATGCCAGCGGGTGGCGCCCTAGGACCAGCCACCCCTTCCCCACCCCTCCTGGCCCCGGGGGCCCCCGTGCCAGCCAGCCTGCCTGCCCCCACTTCGAACAGACAACCTAAGAAACAAGCAAGGGCCTCACCCTGGAGCGTGAGGTCAGAGTAGGCGAAGGGAAACTCAGGTGTATTCCTGGGAGATGCGCGGCCACAGTAGGCGCAGACGATTCGGGACCTGCAAACAAGGTCCCTGGGAAGGAAGAGGAAGGGGAGAGTGGCTGCCCCAGGACGCTTAATGCAGAACTGACAGGATGCCACCAAGCTGTGTCTGAAGACAGCCCCAGAGACATACAGAGGTCGCCCCATCTGGCGAGACCAGGCAAGCTGGCTGAGTGCAGATGCACAGCAGGTGGCTCCAGCCCACTGGATGTATTTCGTCTAGGGCTGGCCTTGGCAGGAGTGGTCAAACTTGAGTGCCGAGGAACCCTGGGGTCCCCTAGAAGGGGGTGTCTCTGCACCCCATACCTTGCCCCACCAAAGCGGCACCCCTCTATCTGCTTTCCGTGCGAAGGTCCTTACTCCTTTGCTTGGGTAAAGGGTTCTTCTGCAAAAGCAAAAAGGAAGATGAAAAGAACAGGAAGGAAGGCTTGCAGCCACTGCTTTACGCTATCTGTGACCGGCCTCTGCACTCCGTCCTCTAAAAGAGGTTGGCGATAAATATTTCATCCCTGCTGCCTCAAGGCCTCCTAAATGGAAAATACCGCGAGGATGGCTATCAGTGAAGCCAAAACTGTCACTGCCAGGAGCTTCTTGAGGCTGACCAGACAGACCCCAGTCCCACCCAAGCCCAGTCCTACCTCCTTCAGGCTGCCAGGTTCAGGAGGAAAGAAATGAAACAGGAACCTAGTTTGAATTTGGGATAAACACAAATAGTTAGTCTAGGTGTGTCCCACATATCACATGGAAGATATTTATACTAATTTTTTCTTATTCTGCAATTTCTTATTCTGCAGCCCCTCAACACGTGTTTACTGAACACCTGTTGGTGTCACAGCGCAGGAGCAGCTGTCCCCACACAGCAGCCCACATGTCCATTTATGGACCTTGCTTGACTCATGAACAATTTTTGTTTGTTTGTTTAGGTTTGTTTGTTTTTTTTTCTTAGTAACATCTCAAAATAGGGCACATTCATAGACTACACTGCATTTCCGGCTTCTCTGAGAAAAGTAGAAGATCTAGTGCTACCAGGCTCACATGCCTTAGCAGGACATCAGCTGCCCTGGCTTTCCCACTGTCCACATTTCACCCCATCTTTCACCTCCCCAGCCCTAGAGCTCAGGGCTGTCTGGCAACTTCCTCTTCCCAAAGCCTCCTTCCCACAGGTTGCAGGAAGCCTGTCCGCAACCATCTGGGTGTCGGCCTCAGCATGACTAGTACTGTTGTATCCCCGGCACCTGAGATACCTCTTTGCTTCTAGAGCTGTCTTAGAGGGACGGGGTCGTGGGGACCCTGAGGGTGGCAACTGCCAGCCAACCCCAGGGAAACAGCGAGCTCCAGGGCTAGGGGGACAGGCCCCTGAATTCTGGGCCAGTACGGGTTCCTCCCGCCTGCACTTAAGCAGGACACTTAAGCAGCAATCCCCGGGCTGCCTGCAACCGCTTTCCCTTGCTCTCAGAGATTCTGCCGCCACCTGAAGCAGATTGATCCTCTCACAAGAGACAGTGTTTCCTGGGGTCTCTTAACTGACCAGCTCCCTCCGCACCGGGGCTCCTGAAGAGAGCCCTAGAGGAATCAGCATGTCCCTAAAGGCCACAGTCCTTCTGCAGGCCCATGGTGTCACTCCCAGCCCCAAGAAAGCCCCAGTCTTCCAAATGGGCAGCATCAGAAAGTTGATGGGTCTCGTTATTCCTTCGATGCAAAAGTCCAAGAGCAGGAAGGAAAGCTAAACATCGTCGCTGTTCTTTCTGTGCCAGAGACAGGTGATTGTAGAGACAGTGAAGAGCAAGATGCAGAGTACAAATTTCCAGGTGAGCCAGAAGAGAAGAGGGAAAACTGTAGGTGACCAGCAGGAAACTCAGAGACAGCAACACCCCGTCCTCCGGGCATGGGCAGCTAGCTGGTGCCAGACACAGAGCCGAGCATGTGGCTTCCTACGGGGTTGGTATTGTTATTGTCCCAATTGTCAGACGAGGTGTCTGAGGCTCAGTGACTAATTTGTCCAGTGCTGCCCACCTAAGGAGGAGTCCTCAAGGGACCCCGGTACGAATCTGACACCAAGAGTATCCTCTGCCTCCCTCAGGTACTAAGCAGCCAGGTCATAACCCTGATCCATGCGGGGTGGCATGCGTCTTAAATTTCAAGGACGTATCCTCGCGAATACTCTTTCCTGAGAATCAAGACTGGAGTTTGCACATTGCTACTCACAGTTCTACCTTGGAACCAGAGTTCCTAGCCTCATTCCCTCCTCGTAGAGGAGAGAGAAAGAGAGGCGAGCGCTCCGCACCTGGACAGCCCAACACTTTACTATGGTCGAGGGAGAGAGAAGGGATGTGCTCAGGGCTGAGGCAACATGAGACACCAAAGGCATCACACTGGAGAGGCCGGAGAGTCTACGTGACGGGCATTCTTAGAAAGCAGAGGTCCCTTCTCTGTCAGCATCCTTGTCCTGAGACCGACGGTGGTTGTGTCTCAGAGCACAGTGTCAGGAGGCCAGAGAGCACGCTGAAGCGCCCTGGGCCTGAAGCCTTTGTTGCTCTCCATGGGGACTGAGGGAGGCTGACTGGAGTAGGCAGAAGCCACCCTGAACCTGGGTTTTGGTCAAGGCCTATCTGTAAAGATAACACAACAGAGAAGATACTAGGATAGTCCCGGATGTGGGAATGTTGCACATCTCTGAGAAAAGAGGCCCACTGGAATTTCAGGGTTCTACCAGGCTGAAGAACAGGGGACAGACTGTGTGTCCATTAGGTGCAGAGTGGCTCACCTTCCTCCAGCCCCCTAGCCATGACTTCAAGGTTTGGGGTCTAGGTTCTCCACAGTAGGGGTCTGATCTGACCTGCCTTATGGGAGGAGTCGTCTGAACAAGAGAACGGTGACAGATAGGGCCAGGATAGGCTGATGGGCTGGCATGTTTGATCCCTAGTTTTCTTCTTCTTCTTCTTCTTCTTCTTCTTCTTCTTCTTCTTCTTCTTCTT